CCTCCCTCCCTTCCTTCCTTCCTTCCTTCCTTCCTTCCTTCCTTCCTTCCTTCCTTCCTTTTCAGCTCCCACTTATGAGTGAGGACATGCAGTATTTCTCTTTCTGTGTCTGGCTTATTTCACTTAATTTTCTCCAAGCTCATCCATGCTGCTGCAAACAACAGAATTTCATTCTTTTTTTTATAGCTGAGTAGTATTCCATTGTTTGTTCTGTGGATTTTCTTAGAGGAGGAGATAAATGTGACCGAGATACAATAACTTGGATATATGGGACTCGGTAAAATAAGATCAAAAGTGCACTGGAAAATCATTACTGCGTGTTCCTATATTTATGCCAGTTAGGTAACAATTAGATGACTTGGTCAGAGGTTGACAGACTTCTCTGTGAAGGGTCAGATAGCAAGTATTTTAGGCTTTGTGGACCGCTTTGTCTCTGTCTCAAATCAACTCTGCTCTTGTACAGAGAAAGCAGCCATAGACAATATGTAAATGAATGATCTGGTCCAGATTTCTGGATTTGACCCATGGGCCATAGTTTGCCAACCGCTGACCGAGGGTTATTTTAGTTCTGAAATCCAAGGGTTGATAAGGAAAAAAATAAGGCTTTGTAAGGGGCGACAGAGATTACTGGAAATCCTTTCAGTGGAATGCTGGAGTCTCCAGGAATTATCTAATCCTATAGGAGTTGGACTTTGTCTCTGTCTGGCTATTACACAATTCTGTAGAGGAAGAAGTAACTAGCAGAAAAGTGATAGTCATGCACGTTTCCTGTTCATAACTGTGCGAGGGATTCCTGGTCATGGCAACGCAAAATATGTTTCCCCTGGAAAGAACGTAAGTCTTTCTTAGTCAAATCCTCATCTGATGGATTGTAACAGCTTTCCAGTTCCCTCATTAATTAATAAGTTAAATAGAATTTTGTCACATGTTCATTTATATTAGTATGAAAGTCATAATTTTACTTTAAAAAACATTCTCCTTTACCACAGTCTGTAATTGGAACATGCACAGTGAGGACTCTGGTAGAATGTGAAAGTGCAAGAGGTGAGAGATTGTCACTCAAAAACAAAAGCTATAACATTTTTATATGAAACATGTTGGAATGGGGTCTAAGTGTCTGTCATGCCCAAACAACTCTTCTATGCAGAAATACGTAAATCCTCATAAAAGAGTTTATTTTGTAATTTGAACTGATTCAAGCGTGGGCACCATGGTCTTGCTACGTTGTCTCCAATAACTCCAAATATTCTCTCCACACGGGAGATCCGCCGACTCTCAATGGAGCGCTGGCAAACACAGACACCTGAGTGTCACTGGTAGCTATTGGTACTTACTCCTTCTCTGGGTTGTTCTTTTGGAAATACTCGAGATGATAGGAAAACAAAGGGTAAGAGCTCGCCCGCTAAATTCTTCTGAAGTCACAGAAACATCCCTGGGGAGCAAAGCCTGGAGGCTGAAGTGTCAACTACAGCCCACCCAGGCAGTGTTCCCAAACGGCCTCTCGTCTCTTATCTCAGACCATGAATTGGACTTTGCATTAATAATAATTTAGAGGGATTGATGCCCATGCTAAGGATGTTTTAGACTCTACAGTGGTCATTGGGATAAGGGATTCAAATAAGACTAGAAAAGGAGGTAAAACTTGAAAGAAGCCCATCTTCTGGATCTTAGTGTGTATTTCAGCATGTCTGTGACAGCTGACGTACACAAGGAGAACAAAGGGACAAAGACAACAGACAAAACGGAGACTTAGCCTTTTTACCTTTCTTTCTCACAATTAAACAAAGAAAACCAGAAGATATTTCTTACCCTTCAGATATTTCTCACCTCTGAGCGTGGGAGTGATGATTGTAGAAAGCAAACTTCCAGCATTAATGGCCAGATAAAAGATGGAAAAAAATCTGTTTCTTTGTTTTTCCTGTCATGGAAAGGATACAGTTAAACTGTGATGACTCTGGCTATGTATCAACTGAGCAGAGAGCTGAGGAGCTGACTTGACTTCTAACTTAATAGCGGTCAGCATCTGACTTTCACAGGTACTCGAAAGGAATCAAATGGAGAAGAGACTTCGTGTCCGTGAAATCTGATTCCCGGATATTTAGAATTCATTGATGTGGTTTCCGTGGAGACATGTGCTCTCACCTGGGTTTCTTCAAACTGGTCTCCACCAAATGCAGACACACAAGGCTTGATCCCTCCGGTCCCGAGAGCTATGAGAGCGAGGCCGATCATGGACAGTACCCTAGAGAGAAAAGGGGGTGCAGATCCTCAAAAGCAGGAGCCTTCTCTTTCCCCTAAATTCCCTCAGGGACCAGGTACAGTGGTAAACACATAACTCACAGCTGCATGAAAACTTGAGCTCCCGGGCCTTCAAGTTCCTACCTTTGTCTAATCATTTAACTTCTAGAAAATTTAAAGCACTGGTTTGAAATCTGAACAAAGACTTACACAGGGAATTCTTTTATAACCTTATCATTTCCAGTAAAAGCATAGGTAAATAAAATGTTAATTGAACAAATAAAAGTATTTTGTCTGGTGCTATCATAATAGACTCGTAATAGTCATTAAATGACATTGGAAAACATGATTTCATCACAAAGCAGAATATCAGGTTCTGCAGTCTGATATTAACTTGTTTACAGAGTACAGAAGACTGGAAAGAAGTAGAGCAAAAGATTTCTTGTTATGTCTAGGTGGTGAGATTAAGGGTTATTTATTTTAATTTACTTTGTATTTTCCAGGTTATCTGTAAGTGTTTTACCTCCTGGATTGAAAAAAATATATATATTCATAGCATTTATCAGCCCTCATTTTGTAGTTATGTTAAATTTACAGTTAGGTTCTACAAATTTCAGGTTTTACAAGTGTGTATCCCGTATCTTCTTGATTGCTAATGTTGCTTACAAATACTAAAAAAAAATTATGAAACAGACAAAGTCAAGGCAGATATTGCACAGGGAAAGAATTCCTTAAAAATCATGCTTCCTGAGTTGATCTTCCTTAATCAGCCAGCCAAAGCACCTCTTCAATCTTGTTTGCCTCTTAATACAACTTGCGTTTAATGTCACTCTAAGCATTTAAAAACATGGCCAGTTGAATATTGCATATCAATTACTCTTATGAGAATGTTAGGTATGTTCCAATACTAATTCCATGAAATAAAAAAGTAGCTAAGATTTCTTGAGCACTTACCACTTAACCAGGCAGTGTTCTAGGTGCTTTCCCTGGACTAATCCGCACAGTCCTATATATGGTAGGTACTATTACAAATGAGGAAACTGAGGCACAGAGGTTAAGAAACTTGCTCGAGATCACACAACTAGTAAGAGGCACAGCCAGAATTTGAACCCAGCCTGACTCCAAACTCTGTTCTTAATCGATATTACAGATGAGAAAACTAAGGCACAGAGAAGGCAACTTGCCGGAGGCCAGACAGCTGCTCTGTGGGAGAGCTGGGAATCAGAGCCTGACAGTCGGAACTGACAACGGTGCTCATAGCCACTCCCCTGTACCACACTGTTCCCTCTGGCCACCAAGGAGGTTGCATCAAGGGACCTAGTCTGGACAGCAATTTGATCAACTGACAAACCAGAAATGCAGGGACTGTGGATACTAATTTGAGTTTCAATTATATTTTCCCAGCCCAAAAGATGGTTTACTCATAGCTCAAGGAACTGAAGCACAAAAACGGGAAACACAATAAATCTTGACAACTAGTCTCCTGGGTCAGACTGCAGTGAAGGGAAATTAATCCAGCAGAGGAGCATTTGTCAATAACATTTGCCATCAAGAACCCATCACAAAGGGCTGGGACAAATATTTATGAAACTCAATTACTGAAAAATAAGCAGGAGTGTGGTACAAGACAGAAAACCAAAAGTCCCAGAGTCTTGAGGAAACCTGGAGGTGTTAAGGATCAAGGTTTGTGGGAGGTATGTCCCTCTCGGGAAGATCGGGACTAACATGAATACCCTGCCCACTGACCATACATCATGTGGGACAGGATGGCCCGAGACAGCCAAGCCTCAGCATGACGAATGCCCCCAGACAGCCAGCAGGACGGCGACACACGGAAGCCCCAATGCTGAGTCCATTAAACAGCCTTCTCCATACCACTGACGAGGGAGGAAAAGCCTCCTCACACCCACGGCGAAGTTCAAGGAAAAAGACGAAGAGATACAGCGCCAAGCAGCCGGGGGTGCGGTGGGGTCCGGGCAGCCGCCAGCCTTACTCACACGTGCACGGGAAGGCTGTCGGGGGTCCCGTCATGGTTGTGGTCCGTGAGGTCATTGATGGAGCTTACCGCGATGACTACTTGTCCAATCGTGTAGACGATGGAGAGTGACACAATTGTCCTTTGTTTGAAAGGGGTAAGGAAATCAAAATTAGTGGCCCAGTAGCTGGCCTCTGCCTGCTCTGCCACAGAAGACCCCTCCTTTAAAACACACCGGAGCCCAGGCACGGAGTCACGTGGTTCTCAAATGTGAGCAAGACTGGCACCTGTCACCAAGGCGCACCGCACACGAAGGCAGAGGGAGTTTGGCCCACAGGACTGAAAGGCGGGGAAAGACACACCTACCTGTCAACCGTTTCAAAGATTCAACGTCTTACTCTACTGAACTACGGGTAGGCCAAATAAGTAATACTTGGCCATTTTCATAGCATTCTCTTGAGACAGTGAATGTCCCCGCGTCTGCCACGTCCTTCCTCTGGCCTGGAGGAACCTCTACTTCCTTCCTCATTGAGTCCTGGGACGTTTCCTGGCACCCGCACGGGCTGCGCTCTTGGAGCTCTTGTTGGAGGGCTGGGGGGGTGCCCCTCAGCCACATCAGACCACGTGTCCTCCCTGCCCACTAAGCAGCAGCGGGAGCCCCCCAGCAGCCAGGACAAGTACTGGGGAGTGTGTTTTCCTAGCTCCTCAACTCTGGGCCTCACACGTCACCCTGCTCCTATTTCAGGGTGAGACAAAGATGCCATGTGTGTTTGAAGGAGGAAAACCCTCTACACATGCTCCTTGCATTCACGTTGCCAGATGCCAGGCGCTGTGCGAGGCCCCGGGGACACAACGCTGGACGGGAACAGGCCTGCAAGTGCTCTCCTAAGAGCCCACGTTCCTTGAATCTTCCTTCCCAGATTCCACCGTCCCAACCACAAAGCTTGTATTTCCGCTTTGGCTTGCTTGTTAACCAGAGAGTTCCAAGCACTCACTTGAACTTTCCCAGCCACGAGTCAGCGATGACAGCCCCGAGAATGGGCGTCAGGTAGCACAGAGCGACGAACGTGTGGTAGATGGCCGTGGACAGGTTGTCGCCCCAGCCGATGAAATTCGTGAAGTACAGAATCAGGATCGCTTTGCACAGAGGGCGGGGGAGAAGGGAGACAAAGTTAGGACAGTCACGGCCACTGCAGGCTTCCCGAGGGGCGCCACGTGGTGGCAACGGTTACCTCTCATTCCATAGTAGGAAAATCTCTCGCAGAACTCGTTGACCACGATGAAGAAGATGCTGAAGGGATAACCGAGGCAGCTCTGTCGAAAAGAGAAACAGTGTGGGACTGACACGTCCATGTGCTCACACCGGCGTCGCTGCAGAAAGAGCAGCCGTGCACTCAGTCACCGAGCAGGGACCGTCCGCAGGGGCAGCCGGGCGGGGATGTTTCTAGTCCCATGCAGGGATCATCCCACACAGAGACAGCGGGGAGTAGAGCAGCAAGCTTGGCTGCTAGTCAGGGAAGGCGGGTTCCCAGCATTTGGCACAGAGGACACCTCACCCGAGACTCAGGACGGCTCCTCATCCGTATATGGGAAGCCAATGAGTCACAGTTGTGAACATTTAGCAGCCAAAGAGATCGTAAAGTTTACAAAATGAAGATCCATGGAGAAGGAAAAAGGCTACTCACATATGATTTGGACATTCCTGAAAGAAAAACAAAACGCCCATGTTAGAGTCAAGCGCGACAACCCTGCCTGCCGCGTGCGCTCTGGGCCCCTGCGACGTCGCAGGGCAGCAGATGAGCCGCTGGTCCCTTCGGCCTCCCCGGCCCGGCCCAGCTGGCCTCCCTCCTGCGTGGGGCTGGCATCTGTGTCCTGCTGTAACGAGCCCCTCGGGCAACGTCCATGCACGGTCAGAATCGAGAAGCAGAAGCTCAGGAATCATGCCCCAAACATCTCCTCCTTAACGCACTGCAAACGCTGCCCATTGGGGCAGAATCCAAGCGCGTTAGCGTGTTCTTCACTATCTCCCGAGGTCATGGGCTTTTGCCAGGATTAGATAAGTGACATACAAAGTGCTGATGGGAGCCTTCCACAGCCAGGCTTCCACCTCCATTCCCCAGCACCTGGGCCTGCAAGCCCCTCCCCACACACAGACGACGCCAGTGACACCCGCTGTCTGCTCAGGGACCAGGCTGTGAGCTCACCTAAAGTCCTGCAAGCATAGCACAGCGACTCCTCTGCAGGGACGGCCCCGCCCCTTTTAATGTGCCCCTTCCTGCCCATGCTTGAGTCTGAGCACCGAAGCATCCTCTGGCATGCCTATGTTACGACGTGTAATCATGGACAGTTTATATTCTAGACGGAGTCCCTTGAGTGGAGGAATCACGAGCTGCCCAGCATACCGCCATCTCCACATCCCAGCACCTTCTACAACACCTACCACCAGTGGGACGAACGAACCAGAAGAGCATGAAGAAAAGTCAGGAGAACAAGCGAGTCGGAGCCAGCCACGTCCGATGGACCCTCCTGTCCCTCAGTCCACAACCCCAGCCCCTGCTCTCCGGTCTCCCCTGAGTTTGGCAGGAGCTGAGCCATACCTTGTCTCTCGTCCTCACACCTCTGTGCCCTGCTCCCTGCACCAACACATGGCCCTCTATTTATCCACATCGGTCACATGCTGCACCCTTTTCCATGGGAATCCATCCCCTCCCCCTCACCAGTCCCTGCTGACCTCATCCTTGAGGTCTTTGTTCTCAGGGCTCCCCGAGCATGCCCTGCCTCTGTTAGGAATCAGTGACCCTGGAGCCGTGGGTCTCACACTCAGGTGTGCCCCAGAATCACGCTGCTGGGCCCCGGCCCCCAGGGTGAACTCTTGAGCTTGCATTTCTAACGATTCCCAGATGCTGCTGCCGCCGGCCTGGACAACATGCTTTGAGAACCACTGCACCGGAGAATCAAACATAATCCTTAAATCCCCATAGCCACCCACGTGGCCCGTGCTGCCGCACAGCTGCTTGTCTGAAACGCAGCTCGACTGGAAATCAACGCTTGCCTCTGTGGCCAGTATCTGGGGAGACCGACGTGTCCTTGTACCCGAGGACTTGTGTTTCTAACAGGTTCCAAGGTGGCATCAGCGCTGCTGGTCCAGGGGCCACACTTTGAGGAGCACATTCAGGCTGCGATGTCGTGTGGCCCGATGGGCCCATGTGAGTAAGTCTGATCACTTCCCTAGCTCTGCACACGCCGGTTGTCCAGAGGGGAGACCGAGCACACTGACGTCTCCACCATGGCTCCCCACCTACATCTCTCACACCCTTCCCCATTTGGGACCCTTCTTCAGATGGGTCACTTGCATTGTCATAATGTGCAAGTCCCAGGCCCCATGCCACCATGAGCAAAACCACGGCCCTGCATGAGGAACTCCTCCCTGGCCCTGACCTGCTCCCTTCTGGCCATACCCTGCCTCCCCCCTCGAGTCAGTGGGCCCAGGGGCCTCACACTGGGGGGTCTTGCGTTCTTGCCTACTTAAGTGCATTTTAGATGCTGTTTTAGTCCTGTCTGAAGATGGGAAATAAACTGTCCTGGCCTCCCAGGACCCAAATTCCCCACTCTTTCTTCCTGCTAAAGCTCTGGACGGAGACTCCCCAACACTCATAAGCTGATTTTCTCCCCAGTTAGACTCCCCTGTGGCGAGGGCAGCCCATGAAGAGTGGGGGCCACGCAGTCAGCCTGTGGTGGGATCTCAGCTCTGCCACTTGCCAGCTGTGACTGGGTGAGCCTGTCCCTCCTCCTGCCAGCACAACAGGCGACCATGGCAGCCCTGGGGTGGAGTCTCAGGGAGCAGGAGCCCAAGCCGAGCATGCTCTGCAGAGTGGAAATTGAGCACGTGCTGAGCATGTGCCAAAGAACCGTTGTGGTGGTGTTTCAGTGACAGAGTACAGTGCTCAGATTCCTGCTCTGCCACTCACTGGTGCCACTGGCCTCTCCACACCCATGGCCTCCCTCAGCGCCAGGAGGCTGACCTGCATGGATGCATCAGTGTCCCCATGTCCTGCCGTGGCTTCCACTGGGTTTGTCCAGTGGGGGGCCCTGGGAGATCAGAGGGAGGGAGGAAAAGTCAGGTATCCATTTTCCCAGTGTCCTCCCTGCAAAGTCACCTTGGACCAGCTGTGTCTCCACCTGACTCTTACTCCGTCCAGGTGTGGGTGACTGTTCTTTCCCTCATCCTTCAGGCCAACAGGGGTAACAGTGGGGCGACTACCGGCCAGGGTCCATGTGCTACCATCTACAGTTCCCTGCTCCCCCACCTTTTCTAAATAGTCCCTTCGTGAGTAAACCCTCCTGCTCTGAGTATGCCATCTGCTTCCTGATAGGACCGTGGTGGTCCAGGGCACAGGTGCAGATGCACACGCTGCTGTCTTTTGTCACCAATCTCCAGCGACATAGGAAGGACCAATCAGGCAAACCCGCCTTGTGTGAGCTCGACACAAAGCCGGCTGTTGGAATTATTCACAGCACGGGGTTTCACTACACTGCTGCATTTTCTTGAGGACACGGATTGCCTTGGGATGCTTTGTCTGCCTAGGCTTCAGATAATGGAGCCTGCCCACTGTCTCCCAAAGACGATGCAGGAGTGAGACCCACATGGAGGCTCCTGTCGTCCTCCAGATGGCCTTTCTCTGGAAAAGCAGGAGGGAGCTCTGAAAACCCCAATTCAATAGACGCAGACTGCAGCTTCATTATGGTGATTCCTTCCCCGTGTTCCTTGGAACTTTGATTCGCAAGCAAAGACTTCATCTTCACAGGTTCCACCTATGCTTTTTTGCTAAATATTATTTAGCACCTATTATTTGCTAAATAATAATGGCAAAGATGTTGTTTCCTTCAAACATATACAGGGTTACAAAAAAGAGACCAAAACATTCAGAGAGCTTAGATCTTATTTAAACAATCATCATACCCAGGACTAAATTATAGGGAAAAAATTCCTTAACTCGTTCAAGGGCAAATCTGAGATTGAGTACCCAATGATTTACTACTTCACGCAAGAAGCATTTTATTTTCTGAAAGGTATGCATTCCAAAGAGCTGCTTTTTTTATTGCAGGGCATAGGCTGCCAAACTCTTACAGAATTTAGAGTTATCTACTAGATGGAATGTTGCAGTCAGCATTTCTTATCTTAATACACCTGTGTCAACAGGATTACTATTGTAGAAAGCTCACGTACAGAAATGGTGTCTGCGTTGAGACTTAGGCCTGAACTCAGATTTCAGCTGCCACAAATAAGAGCTGTTAACTTTGGTACGGTGGTGTCTGTAGTTAGTATCCTGATACTGAATCTCATCAGCATATTTGACTGGTCTGACCTTTGTGGCATCACTCCTGGACCACTGGGACTGATCAGAGCCAAACCGAGTTGGCATCCAGACTCCCACGTGGCGAGCTTGGCCAGCACCTGGTACACAGTAACCTCTGCGTAAGTGCTGGTGCTTCTTGCTGTCCCAAGCCTAGCAATGGTTTTGCCTTTCTCTTGGCTAAAGAATTTAATAAAATAAGTGTATATTATACATTTCTATGATTACTGACTTGGGGTGGGGAGAGATTGTGAAAACGAGGAGGAGACCCCCCTACTCCCCACTACTTAATGAAATCTCTCCATTAATGCAAATATTTACTACAAGGCATGTTTCATATTTTGAATAATTTAGGAATAAAAACTCTAACTTTAATGTTTTATTGCTTAGATAGTAGTAACTCCCTCAGCGACATGAAGGGTGCAGAGAGTGCATTTCTAGGAGGTGGACTTGGGAAGTTAGAAGGAACAAGACATTTTGCTGAGGTCTAAGAGAAGCTCTCACCTGTGGGAGGAGAGAAAACTGTTTCTGATCATTACCTGGAGTCAAACTGAGGAAATAACGTAAATTGTACATAGTGTTTTCGGGGCCCTCCCGCAGGGCTCAGTCTGCACACTCGTTGGTTAGCAGTGGCCCTGCCACCTTCACCGTACGCCGCAGAAACAGCCTGTTTTCCACGACTGCCTTCTCCCCCACTGAGAGCGTCATTACTCCTCTGACGCATCGACAAATAGCTACATGAACACAGCACATGTGACGGATGGCTTTCAGAATGCCACTTTAATCAGTCTGCTGGTTTGAGCGACCACTGCCAAGAGCAAATGAGTTATCTGTCTTTTGAGAATGAAGAAAGTCATTAAATCCTAATAGCATGAAGCTACTTCAGAAGTGTGGAGAGAGTGGCACTAATGGCAGAGTGTGGGTTTTATTAAGTGACTTTGCAAGACTGGCAAGATGACACTGTAGGGGACGGCTCAGCCCTGGGGACCTCACACGTGTCCACACAGGTCACCAGGCAAAGGCTTGACCACAGCTGATCTGAGTCCTGGCAGATGCCCCGTGGTCCTCCCAAAACGCAGAGGACGGGGGTCCCTGAGGAGACCCCTGTCCCTCGCCTCCACAGTTCCGACAAGGTGGGTTTTCTCCCAGCCCCTCAGGAGAGAGCCGCAGACATGAGACCACCAAGTGGCGGTCTGGCAGCGGCTCCCCAGCCATGGGTCACTGCCCAACTCGCCTTGGGTCATCAGCCCTGTTGTTTTGGTGTCACCCTCTCTGTGGTGTGGGGCAGGGACCCCAGGAGCTGGTACCCTCAGCTACTCCTCCTGCACTGTCCGTGTGAGTCATAAACTGTCTCACTGCGTCATCACCGTCTGTCCGTCAGGCCTCGCTTTGTGTCCTGTGTGTGACAGCCATGCCTCCACCTTTCCTTAAAACATCTCCCTCGGGCCGGCCCGGTGACGCACTGCTACAGTGTGCCACTTGGGAGCGCGGCGGCCCTCCCGCCGAGGGTTCGGATCCCACATACAGACCGGCCGCTCACTGGCTGAGCGAGGTGCGGGCGCAACACCGAGGGTTGCGATCCCATTGCCGGTCCCGGTCCCGGTCCGGTACAGGCGTGACAGTGAGGGTTGCGATCCGTTGCCGGTCACGAAAAAAAAGGAAAAAAAAAAAACCATCTCCGTCAACCTGGGTGTCCGCTGCCCAGGTTTGGGGACAGCCCTCGGTCAGCGTATGAGTTTTCTAGGGCCGCCATCCAAAGTACCTCAAGCTGGGTGTCTTGAAACCACAGAAATTTGCCGTCTCATGGTTTTCGAGGCTGGAAGTGTGACATCAAAGTGTGGGTGGGGCTGGTTCCTTCAGAGCCCACGAGGGAGGGTCTGTGGCGGCCTCTCCCCCGGCTCTGCTGCGTCTCAGCTTGGAAAAGTGTCACCTCCATCTCCACGGTGGCCTTCACATGGCCTCCCCTCATGTATGTCTGTGCCCACATTTCCGCTTTGTATAAGGATGCTGGTCATACTGAATTAGGGGCCCACCCTACTCCACGATGACCTCACCATAACTAATCACATCTGCAACAGCCCTATTCCCAGACAAGGTCACACTCTGACGTAGTGGGGGTTCAGGATTCCACGTATGAGTTTGGGGCTACACCATTCAACCCATACAGTCAGAGGCCATTCATAGTGTACGGCTTATTGCTTTAGGTTCCAGATACCTGTCTACTTTTTGGAAAGGTTTCTGTACCTGACTTTCTAAAATCATAGGTGTAAGAGGCCTGTATCAGCCACCTTCTGGTGGTTTTATAAATCACCTATGACTTTGGCATCTCATTCCCATAACCACAGCTGTGAATCTCTAACACCGTTCCTGTTCTCCTTCAGAAAGGAGACATCTCTGGGGGCCCCGGGAGCCGGCCACCTGTGCACTTGCTCAGAGACCCGCTCCTGCCTGCAGGGAAAGGTCAGTGGGCCGGGGCGTGCTCCGGGGTGCTTGGGTAGCAGGCTGTTAGGCAAAACAGAGATCCAGGCACCGGCCCTAAGTCCCACCTCGGGTCTAGGCAGGGAACAGGGACTCAGGTGAGAAGATTTCCCTGGGTGTTAGAACAGCAACCCTTGCTCTCTAAGTTATTTTCTTTATCTATTCCTAGATATTTTTATTCCAGAAGAACGTCCCTTGTTCAGAACTTAGAGTTAGGTTTACTTTAAAGGCATAAGTGCTGAGAGTGAATAAACAAATATAGTCACAGTTTAAGGAGGAGAGAGAGACACTTCCCCAGAGTGGGGCCTAGAAGGGGACAGAGGACAGAATATGAAAAGAAGAGGCCACCAGCCTCCTGGGCAACACCTGCCTCACCTCCAGCCACACACACCCAACAGGCAACAGAAACTGGCATATTAGAGTCGGCCCTGATAATACTGTGTATTGTCACAGGAGAAGACCACGCCAAAGGCACATAGTGTCACTAAATTAAAAGGAACCAATCTCCTGGTCTTTTGGTGGATTTGTTTTGGAAGCAATTAAGTTAGAGACCCTAACTTTTACACATGAAGATTTTTAACTCTAACATCATAAATCATGTCTAGAAAAAATGCTTTACAATCACATTAGTATGAAGTTAGGCCCCCAAATCCTGTGTCCTGTGGAGCAGTGGCCACTTTACCACCCCGAGGGTTAGCTGTTCCGAGCTCAGACCCCCGCTCAGAGCAGTCACTGCTCACATGCTCCCAGTTCCCTTCCCCTCTCGAGGCCTCCTGTCGCCCGGCGAGGAGCTGACAGGTTGGGCCATCGTTGGCCTACCACTGAGCACGCAGGGTCCCAAGAGAGACCTTGTGCACTCTGCTCATAGCCCAGAGTCTGGTTGGTCAAAGTCTGGGGAAAGGGTTTTCAGGGTGAGGCGTCAAGACGGGATCTGCAGGGATACCAAGTTCAGCTGTGGCTGTCAGGGGAAAATGGGGGCTGAAGTCCAGTCCAGGTGGGTCTGCCCCACCCACACTGTACCCCAGAGTGACATTTCTCCTTATTGAAGAAAAGGCACTCTTTCTGCTAAGCACAAAGGCATCGTGTGGCTGGAGCCTTGCAACTGGGAGTGTGGCTTATAGACCAGCAGCTTCAGCGTCACCAGGGAGCTTGCTAGAAATGCAGAGTCTCAGGCCTCACCCAGACCTACCGACTCAGAGCCTGCATTTTAGCAAGATTTCCAGCTGACTCCTACAAGCACTTTACAGTCTGAGAAGTGACAGCCCAGGGGTGACCCTGGGGATGTCCTCAGAGTAGAGGGCCTAGGTTCTCTCAGTTCTCCGCATGCCACCTCCAGGGATCCCAGTCTGTGCTCAGCCCCTGCCCTAAGCCAGCCCTGTGAGACCCTTAGCCTCATCGATCATTCCACACTCTGTGTGACGCTCCCAGTGGTGGGAGTGACCTGCGGTCATCAGGGGATGGGGGTGGGTTTGCTGGCCCTCTGGACCCTGCTTCCTGGTTACCCCACATGCCAAGCGGCCTCCTTCCTCAGGGCCTCACCACAGGCCTTTGAAGGCGCGGCTTCTGGAAGTTGTTTTCTAGTCTGCTTGGAGAGCTTGCCCTTGCCTCTCTGGGAAAGCCTGGACATCAGAGAAGCCACCAAATCAGAGCTCACATTGGGAGTGAGCCCCTTAGCTTCAGCCTGCAATAAAGAATGCATTGGTCCCCACTTGCCCCCCCAAAAGAAGTTAGGCTACAAAACCACGTACGAATGCAAACTTTTTGCCCAGTGACATTCAGGTTGTACATATCTCATTCCTATCATGGGAACATCTATATGAAAGTTCTAGAAGTAGAATGTTGGTAAAATATGTGTATTTTAAATTTTATTAGGTATTATCTAACAATTCTCAATAGAAGGGTTAGGTGACTTTTTTTTCATCTTCTCTTGTAATTTTAGAATAAGCATAGAAGAAACAGTTATATTTAAAAATTAAAAGGAAAAGTTAAACACTATGTGTAGTTAAAGATTTCCTGGAAACTTCATCCATGGCTGTGTAGTACAGAATCAATAGAGCGTGAACGTAATTTCAAGAGTTCATTTGAGGTAAATTACCTGTGTCTACTCTACCACTTTGAGTGTTTCTGATTTCACCTAATGTTACACATGGGGTTGTTTTCTACATACCAGTTTTGTTACTAAACCGATCGTTTAGATCCACTGATTAATTTAGGTCGATTAGAGCCATGACCGGAGAATCCATCTGTCTTGCTAAGGCGAGACACTGGTCACTAAACAGCATCTAAACTAGGCTGCTGGCCGCAACGCAGTTACCTTTACACCCTAAGAATATTCTCCCCCTAAAGGCATACATAAGTGATATACATATTTCAGAGAGAAAATTTTCTCTGTATCATGTGGGGGATTGAATAGTGTCCCCCTCCTCCCCAAATTCATGTCCTTCCCAGAATCTGAAAATGTGACCTTATTTGGAAATACGGTCATTGCAGATGTAATTAGTTAAGATGAGGTCATACTGGAGTACGGTGGGCCCTTAATCCAAGGTGAGTGGTGTCCTTTGTTAAGGGTTAGGGACAAGAGACAGACACAGACACATGGGCAGAGGACAGCCATGTGACAGTGGTGGTGGAGAGTGGAGTAATGCGGCTGTAAGCCAAGGAGTGCCGGGGACTGCCAGTAACATCGGATGCTACGGGAAAAGCATCGTGGAACAGACTCTCCCCTAGAGCCTTCAGAGACAGCACAGCCCTGCTCATGCCTTGATCTCGGACTTGCAGCCCCCAGAACTGTGAGAGGACATTCTGCTGTTTCAGAACAGCCGGCGTGTGGTACCTCTGTGACAGCAGCCACGGGAAACTAATACACCTTGTGAGTTTATGTTCTGTTTCTCCTGAGAGATATAAATGTTCATTGTTTCCTTTACTATGATAAAATATACATAAGCTAAAATTCATCATTTTCACCATTTTTAAGTCTGCAATTCGCTGGCACGAAGCACACTGACACCGTTGTGCAGTCATCGCCACCTCCCTCTCCAGAACCTTCTCATCTTCCCAGACTGAACTCTGCACCCACCAAAACCCACTCCCCATCTCCGTCCCCAGCCTCCCAGAGCCACCATCCCACTTTCTGTCTTTGTCAGTCTAACTACTCCAGGGACCGCATGTGAGTGGAGTCCTGCGACATTTGTCCTTCTGTGTCTGGCTTATTTCATTTAGCATAATGTTTT